CTGGCTATTTTGTTGTTGTTGTTGTCATTGTTGTTTAGCAGGCCTGGGCCAGGTTCGAACCCATCAGCCCTGGTGCATGTGGCCGGTGCCCTAACCACTGAGCTAGGGGCACCAAGCCCTGTGCACCTCTTATTGAGACCACAACGTGTCCCTTGGTGGTTGCTGAGACCAGAAGGTGTCCCTTGGTGGAGAACACTCCACCAGAACCCCAGAACACCCAGTCAAGCAGGGTTTTATTTGTTCATGCACAGCCTTGGCCTCGGCGTTTGTTGAGGGTCAGCCGCCTCTCGGTCTCCTCTCTGGCACCACCCAGCTTTCCAGGACTTCCCTTGCCGAGACTTCTTTCCTGACCAGACTTGTCACTATGTCTTCGATGTTGTCAAGAAACTGGTTTGAAAGGTAAGAGAATAATACTGAGTGCCAGCGCAGCTGCATAGCCGATTGGCGAGAATGTTAAGACGGGCTGGAATCCAAATGAGACCATTTGTAAACCAGCTCTCATCTTGGCAGAAGGTTGAACAGGGTCACTGCAGAGCACTGGTTTACATGATTGGCAGGGGCTGGGCCGGTTTAAATTTTAGAATATGCACACCTTCTGCCCCAGATTGCTGTGTCTACTCCACCAAGCCTATTTTGAGAAATGCTATGTCCTGGGTACAAGAATGTTTGCAGTGGTACTGGTAAAATACTGGAAATAGCTTAAATGAGATTAGATTACAAAACTGCTGTGCTATGAAGTATTTATTATGCAGCAGCGAGGACGATCAAGGTGGGTTTAAATGGGCCAACATGGAAAGATCACCACGATGGAAGTTAGGACAAAGCATGTTCGGAGGAACATGATTGTCTGATTCTATTTATGACAAGAAACTCGTGTGTGTGTGTGTGTGTGTAAAACAATAGATAATAAAGCACACATGTACTGTGAGTCTACCTGCCATGTGCCAAGTAGTGTTCTAAATGCCTTAGTAACGGCAGTGGTCCCCAACTTTTTTGGCGCCAGGGGCCAGTTTTGTGGAAGACAGTTTTTCTACAGACCAGGAGAGGAGGTTGGTTTTGAGATGAGTCTGCAAGCAGTTGAAGTCTTACGGTCTCTGTGCAGTCAAGCCTCTCGACTAATGATAACCTGTGTTTGCAACGTCTCCCTAGCGCTAGCATCACAGCCTCAGCTCCACCTCAGACCATCAGGCGTTAGATTCTCACATTGCAACCTAGATCCCCTGCATGAGCAGCTTCCCTCAGGGTTCATGCTTCTGTGAGAAGCTATTAATGCTCAGGTGAGGATGGGAGCCAGGGGGAGCGGCTGTAGGTTCAGATGAAGCTTTGCTCTTTTGCACGCAGCTCACCTCCTGATGTGCAGCCTGGTGTCTAATAGGCGGTAGACCCATATGGTCTGTGGCCTGGAGCTTGGGGACTCCACCCTTCCAGGCATTAACTCAATAAATCCTCAAAAACTCCTATGCTGTGGGTACTATTATTAGTCCCATAATACAGACAAGGAAACTGAGGCACAGATTGCATAACTTACCCAAGCTTCCACAGGAAGAGTGGAGGTGGGATTAGCCAGGTAGTCTGGCTTTAGAAACCATGTTTTTAACTATTATATCTCACTCACACACACTCACACATGGGCATGTGCAAGAACACACACACACACACACGATTATAAGTACATGTGGAGAGGCATGGAAATGTGTGCCTGAAATTGTGTGTGAGAGTCCTTTGGGGGGGGCAGAGCGAACTGTGGGAGGAGATAAAAAAAGAACTTTCATTTTCTCCTGGCTATATTTCTGTGGATTTAGCATTTTTGTAATTAGATATTATTTACAATAAGAAATAAAAATAAAAAAGGGGCTGGTGGGTTCGAACACGGTCCAGGCCTGCCAAACAACAATGACAACTATAACAAAAAAAAAAGTGAGTGTTGTGGCAGGTGTCTATACTCCAAACTACTTGGGAGGCTGAGGCAAGAGAATTGCTTGAGCCTAAGAGTTTGAGGTTGCTATGAGCTGTGACGCCACAGCACTCTACCAAGGGTGACATAGTGAGACTCCGTCTCAAAATAAAATAAATAAATGAAAAAGATTCATACAAGAATAAAAACTAGCACTCTGCTCTTCAATCAGAACTAATAAAGAGGCAGTGTGCGATATGACAGGCAATTTGAGGTGGGCTATGAACTGCCATCTTGGGTCCTGACACTCAGTGACCAGGCCTCTCAACCGCCTCATGACCTCATTCATCTGCATCCCTGGAGAGTTTAGAACCTGGTCTTGAGACTGCCACCAGGTTCTTCTTCTTCTTCTTCTTCTTTTTTTTTTTTTGAGACAGAGTCTTACTATGTTGCCCTGGGTAGAGTGCTATGGCATCACAGCTTCACACCAATCTCAAACTCCTGGGCTGAAGCGATTCTCTTGCCTCAGCCTCCTGCGTAGCTGGGACTACAGGTACCTGCCCCAATGTCTGGCTATTTTTTGTTGCAGTTGTCATTGTTGTTTTAGCTGGCCCAGGCTGGGTTTGAACCCACCAGCCTCAGTGTATGTATGTGGCCGGCTCCATAACCACTGTGCTATGGGCGCCGAGCCTGCCACCAGGTTCTTAAGGAACAAGTGCTGAACCAGAGTAGGGGACACAGTGGGGGCACCCCTGAGCCATCCTTGAGGCCCCCCTTGCTGGATGACAGTGTCACTTCTGAGTGATGCCCCGTGGGCCAGCCACTTCCGTGCATTCCCCCACTTAATCCACACAATACCCTCTTGGCTGTTGTGGTTCTCACCCCATTTTGAAGATGAGGGAGACTGAGAGCCCGGTACAGCCGCACCCTTGTTGTAAGTAGACAGGGTTTGTGGCTGCGTCAGGCTGCCCGTCCTGTCCTTGTTATTGGGGGAAGGTTGGGAGGAGGGCAGGACCAGAGGGGGGCTTCTTCTGCTGGAGCTCCTTAAGGACACAGGCCAGGCAGGCACAAGGCCACAGGGACCAGGCCTGGTGGGGGCAGTGGCGTCCTGCACCTGGGAGTGAGAGCGGGTCTGGAACCACAGGGGCTGGGGCTGGGGCAGGGGCAGGGGCAGGGCCAGAGCGTGAGGATGGAGCTGCTTTTGTCTTACTTCTCCGAAGCTCAGTGTCATAGTTTGCCAAGTGGGGGTGGCAGTGGTGTTTGCAAGCACCATGCAAGGAGGACTCAGTATTTGCATGGCAGAGGACCTGGCACAGCAGGGGCTCCGTGGGGTTGGTCACTGTCATCACTACCATGATGGATCTTTCCTATCTCTTCAAGGAATCTAGCTCAAGCAAAAGCCCACTTTACTGCCTGAGCTACGGCAGAGGTGACTGTGTCGTCGTCGTAAGCCACACCAGGCTTCCGGCACTTGGAGCCGCATCCCTCTGCCACACCAGACTCACGGAAACCCCACCGTCCCCTGTCTGAGTGATGCCTCCTCTTTAGGATACAGCCTGCCTGGTGCACACCGCCATTGCTTCCCTCACCCCGAGAGGCCCTGGTGTCACCTTGCATAAGGCTGTGAGGGGTGGGCTACAGCTCCTCTGCCAGTGTGCCTAGCATCTGGCCCAGCAGCTGGCAGCATGTGACAGGGGCTCGAGCTTTACTAAACAAGTGGCTTGAAGATGAGAAGGAGGGTGAGCTGTGGGGCCTGGCCCTGAGATGTAGGGAAAAGGCAGCCAGCTCCTGCGGGGATGCGGGTGGGGGGTGAGGGGGTGAGGGTGTGAGGCCCTAACTCAATAAATTCAGAGAGGGGGTGGCCGTGGGAGCTCACGTCCGCCCAGTGGGAACCCTTGTGGAAACTGGGCATGGCCGTCATCCAGCCTGGGCTGACCTGAAGTTCACCTTGCCTGTCTTCTCATCCAGCCTCTTTATCACCTCTCTGACTTGGTACCGGTTCAAAGGGACCTTGTTTTGCTGAGGAGGTGGATGGAACATGTTTGGTTAATAGAGCTCTCTGTTCGCCCCTCCACAAACACCGCTGCACACGTCTGTCACGCACTCTCACCCTCCCCACTTTATGACCCGCTCCTCTTGGGACCATGGATGGCAAGAAGTCTCCTGCCCAGACACCAGAGGGCCTCCCTCTTCTGGGGAGCCGTAAGGGGGCTGGAGGTCAGGGTCAGGTGAAGTTAAGTGGCCTATGGGGTGGACAGAACTGTCCTCTGCAACTACTGAGTCCCGGCCAGCTCTGCCTGGGCCCCCAGCACGTCCCTCCTATGTCCTGTTCTTGCAGGGTCCAGCGCCCCCCTTGGCTACTCTGACGATGGCCCTCTTGGAGTGTGCATTCCAGGGGCCTCAGCACCTTCATTATGGGGGTGCTGAGGGGAATGAGAGATTTCAGGCAAGATGATATGGCCAAAGGTGGGAGCACTGGGGCTTTGGGATATGGCCTTCTTTCTCTCCTTTTTATCTGTCTAGTAGTCAAGCACATGGGAGGAAAGACCCCAAGACAGAACGTCTGCCTTTAGGCGGCATCGTGGGTCTCCAGTGCCTTTGAGCCATACAGCACAGAGAATCACTTTAGCAGGGGTTGAGGGAGGTCTTGGGTCCCCTCTGAGTGTCCCACAGCCAATCCCAGGAAGGTCTCTGAGGTGCTCACACACTCTCTCTCCCCTTCTCTGTCACATGCCTGCACGCAGTGCCTGCGGCCACTAGGAAGCATCTTACCTGTATAAGAATTTTCTGGAACTCTCCCACAGGCATCCGCATTGTCCCAGCAGGGTTCAAGCTCTTGAAGAAGTCCACCACCGTGATTTTCTGCTGGTCTGCATAGCTCTGAGAGAAGCAGGAGACACCAGGCACAAACGTTTGGCCTTTACAACAACCACCACAACTCCCCGTCCCTCCCCCAGAGGCTACCCAAGCTCCAGGACCCAGAAAGGCTGAGGCGAACAGGGAGGGCAAACAAGAGGATCTGTGGGGGCTCTTCCACGTTTGCCCGGTTTCTCCCAGCCCCGCGCCACTGAGCAGAAGCTCCATCCATTCCCAGGTGGAAGGGCTGAAGTCCATGCTGCTGAAGTGCCACAGCATCCAGGCGTCAGGGCTGGGGATCAGCTATGGGACTTGGGCTTGAGAGGACCTCTGTTAACACCAGTGCAGACGGTGCACTGTGGCTAGTGGATGGGATGTTGTAAGCTCAGAGATCAAAGGTTGAATCACAGCCGCATTGAGTGACAAGGCTCTAGGACAGGTTTTAGGAATTCCTCGGATCCCCACGGCTCCACACCAATGCTCACATGGAGACATGCTTTCTTAGAATATTTTAAAAAATAGTTCATTGTTTTCATTTCAAAAATACAGTCATCCTTCCGTACCACAGGAAGGATGGTTCCAGGACCCTTATGGATACAAAACTCTGGGATTGCTCAAGTTCTCCCGTCGGCCATGAGAACCTGTGGATACAGAAGGTGGGCCCGGGGTTTCGGTGTCGCCTCGTCTCCATTCATGGGGTTTGCACCCATGAACCCTGCATTTTCCACCCACATTTGGTTGCATATGTGGAACCTGTGGCTATGGAAGGCCGACAGTGTTTATTGGAAAAAATCCTCGTGTAAGTAGACCCGCACAGTTCAAGCCTGTGTTTTTTAAGGGTCAACTGTATTACCTACTCACATTGCAAGGCAATTTTAGATTAGAAGAAGAAAAGAAAAAGTAACACGCAAGTCCATTGTCACCATTCAGAGGTAACATCTTTTTTTTTTTTTTTTTTTTTTGAGACAGAGCCTCAAGCTATCTCCCTGGGTAGAGTGCCATGGCATCACAGCTCAGAGCAACCTCCAACTCCTGGGCTCAAGCGAGTCTCCTGCCTCAGCCTCCCAAGTAGCTGGGACTACAGGCGCCCGCCACAACGCCCGGCCATTTTTTTTTTTAGTTGCAGCCGTCATTGTTGTTTGGCGGGCCCGGGCTGGGGATTCGAACCCGCCACCTTAGGTGTATGTGGCTGGCGCCTTAGCCGCTTGAGCCACAGGTGCCAAGCCCAGAGGTAACATCTTGATGTGGATTCTTTTTTCTATCCATCTCTCATAACATCTGACTAATCTATCTAATGCTTATCTATTTAACATCTGTCTAATCTATCTAATCCAAATCATCTTTCTACTACACCTGCTGATTTATAAAATGCGCTGTACAAACACACTGTGAACCCTTTTTAATGTCATTAAAATATTCTTTGGGTCCTTTTTTAAAAACTCTTTTGTTTCTCTTCCTCTCCCCCTCTCCAAAGCCCCCAGACAAGGTCTTGCTGTACTGATAGTCCATAGATCCTGTGGTTACAACTAAGCACCTTGAGCAGAACCAGGGCCTGTCACCTTGGCAGGTGCCCTGCCCTGGAGGAGTTCATAGTGTCCCAGTGGAAGGGTAAGGCCAAAGACACAAGAGCAGTGGCAAGGGCATTTAATCTTAACTAGGGAATCTGGGAAGGGTCCCTAAGGAAGTGACTTTTGAGTCGAGACCTGGAGAATGAGTAGGAGCAGGTGCACACAGAGGGCAAGGAGAAGCACGTGCCCGGTGGAAGGACCGGTGTGTGCACAGGCCTGGAGTTAGGAAAGAAGTGAAATGTGCAGGACCAGGGGAGAGGCAGGCAGGGCTGGGTGGCGGCCACCTGCACTCCCCACCTCTGCCCAGGCTACCATCTTTCTGTTAGCCCCTTGGGCTTGAGTTTGGTTTATCTTTGGATCTCTCTTACCAGTACCCAACCATTCACCAAGTCTCACCAAGTCTCTTACACCTGTCCTCTGCTTTCATTGTCATTCTCAGCCAAGTCATCAAATCCTCATTCCATATCTAGAACACTAGTGCCTCACTGATCGTCCCACTCTTTTTTTTTTTAGACAGAGTCTCAGTCTCTCACCCTGAGTAGAGTGCTGTGGTATCATAGTTTACAGCAACTTCAAACTCCTGGGCTTGAGCAATCTTCTTGCCTCAGCCTCCCTAGTAGCTGGGACCACAGGTGCCCACCACAAGGCCTGGCTAGTTTTTCTATTTTTGGTAGAGACGGGGTCTCCTTCTTGCTCAGGCTGGTTTCAAACTCCGGAGCTCAAGTGTTCCTCAGGCCTTGGCCTCCCAGAGTGCTAGGATGACAAGTGTCAGTCACTATCCTCGGGCTGTTTTCTCACTCTTGTTTTACCCCCTTCAGTTCTCTTCACTTCCCATTGCCAGAAAGATCACCCCTCTGTCCTGCTGGACTCATCACATCCAAAGCTCGGCAGCTCTTGCCGGCTCCCTGCTCCCCGGGAAATCACACCGAGACTGAAATCCGATGATTTAGGATTCGCCACCCCACATCCCTTGCCAGCGTCGACTTCAGGCTTCTCTGTGAGCCTGGAGCCACATGTTCTTCTGTTGGAGCCACTGGTCTGTTCACATCCCCTGAACACGCTGTGTGCAATCCCACCTCTGAGCTTTTACAGGCAGGATCCTCTTCCCGCCCCCAGGCCCGTGGCCCACCTGAATCCTTCACTCCCCTCAGGGGACTTCCCCAACAGTATCTCAGCCCAGCAGGCCTCACTTTCTGTGCCCCCAGTCCTGCAGGGATCTCGGTTGGATTCTGATTCTATTTGCTGCTTTTGTCCCTTATTTATCATGACACTTTTTGTGAGTCATTCCTGCATCTATCCCATATTCCTAACCAGACCGTTTGCCCCTGAAGGGGAGGACTATGTTTCGCCCTGCATGTCTCCTGCGGGTCTACACAGAGATTCTTTTTCTTTTTTTTTTTTT